AGAGCATCACTATTTTTCAAATAATAATGGTTGATGGGGTTTGACGTCCCAAAAGTACGATTTGGCTATTAGAAACGCCGTAGTGCAGAGCTCCGGAACTTCTGCACTCCCGAGTTGCTTCAACGTGCACCTAGAGCTAAGTATACGAGCCTCGGGCGTTTTCGCCTCCATAAAACTGCGGCCGCCGTGGTGGGACTCCATTCCGATATCTGCGGGCCAGCACTCGAGCACCATGATCTCAAGCACCGTGGCGGGTTCTTTTTCAACGGCAGCGAGAATGAACGGTTATGGAGACATTACAAAAAGCACACGATAATTTCGTTGCTTCGTTCACATCATAAGGTTTATATGCTGATAAGAAGAATTTTTTCACCCTGGCGTGAAATGTGCATATTGCGAAATTGTTGCACAATTGATGTATACATGCCGGGTGTTTCAAGAAATGTGTCGAATATAATTTAATATTCACAGAAAACAGATATCTGCATGCTACTTGCCGAGTTATATTTCCCGTCTCTGCTAGAAGGCATCTTCATATGCGTACAAACATTAATTATGGCAGTTATTCTAGAAATGAACACAATTAACGTTTTCACCAGTGGTGATAGCCGGTCGAGCCAAATGCGCAAATTCAAGCTCTTCCTTCGAAAAGTTCATAGCCCTTTCTAAATGTGGTAATCACTGCGGACCGATGCAATGAGTCTAATTTAGCTGGAGAAACAGAAACAGATGCACTGAACAGCGCATCTACAATTCACATCGACAACGCCCTCAGTGGCGACACTGTTTTTCTCGCTGTTGTCGACCGTCAATTTAGACACTTCGCTTCGAGGCCGGCTTTCGACGCTCGCTTATTCTTCTACCCCAATGCGAGGCAAACAGTGTCGTCATTGAGGGTGTTGTAGCAGTGAATGGTAGATGCGTTGTTTGGTGCGCCTGTTTCGGTTTCCCCAGCAAAATCGGTCCGATTGTATCGATCCACGATGATTACCAGTGGTCGCTTTTCCAAAATTTTAAAGTGGCTATGGATTATTCGTAATAAGAGCTTGAATTCCGTCATTTCACTCGACGGGCTATAACCGCTGGTTAAAAAGTTAATTGTGTTAAGTTTTATGACCACTGCAGTAATAACTTTTTCCACCCATCTGAAGATGCCTTCTGCCACGGAAAGGCAAAGCCCCAATTAGCCCGCAGATACCTATTTTCTGTAATTTATAAAGAATATTGAACGGATCTCTTGAAACACCCTGTATGTGCATTATAAATGAAAAGCAAATGGGAACAACAACTTGAATCGTGCCACACGGCTTTAGCTTCTTCTCTGGATTAAATACAGGAACATAGTTCGCTTCGGTGGACCAGTGGCGAGGGTGCTCAGCTGCTGACTTGAAGGTCGTGGGTCCGATCTCAGCCATAGTGGTCACATTTTGATGGAAGCGAAATGGTGGAGGGCCGTGTAGAACGCGTTGTCAGTGCACGGTAAAGAACACCAAATGCTCAGCGATTCCTGCGCCCTCTAGTCTCCCATAATCATATTCTGGTTTCGGGAGTCGGGACGTAAAACCCCACATATTATTAGAGGAAGTTATTGAAACTGAAGACATACTAGCGCGAGCAGCAGGATGACTGAACACACAGCAAAGGCGTTCATCTCCTTGTCATGCGTTACTGCGGCTGCAAATAAAAAGAAACAAAAGTAGAGGTTGGTTAGCGTCACTGGTTTTCGAATTTCCGTTCTCGTTACCTAAACTGCTCTTCACCAGTGCAGTACCGCTTAATGTGAACCAGTGATATACAAAAGTGTAACTGGACAATAAACCATGTCAAATAGTAATTGCGCCAGGTACATAATTAATGACGATTTGACTTTTTTTCGTACTGTTGCAAGGATAACCCAGAAAATCGAAAATATAGTTGTTTCAGACTCAACAAGCAGCGCCGTCTCTCTAATGTCTAAAATTATGCTAATTTAGGATTTACGCTTTCTACAAAGAAATACTTAAACTTCACTGGAAATATTCATTTCTCATCGCTATTGTCAGAATACCCATGTGTGGAGCCGCATGTCAGGTGATTAGACAGGCTCACTGTTGTATCCTGTATATAGTACCTGTAGTTTCGGTTTCTGTGTTTGAGTTGGCAACACTGGGTCCCTGTGATTGTATATATTTGTGGAACGTCTAATAAAAAAAAGGCTATGCAACCGCTACTCGTGAGTGCGAGGCAAGTCACTCGTTCACTACAATGGCGACGAGGATGGGATAGTTCCCGGGGGATAAGCAGCCGCGCCCCCCAGATGGCTTTCGCTGGCATCGCCCCACCGGATCCGTTCCTTCCGACACCGGGTCGTCCCGTGCAGCCATGGTTCCGATGGCACGACATGTTCATGGTCTATCTGCTGGCGTCCGGTGCTTCAGAGTTCTCCCCAGAGCGACGCAAGGCTATTCTACTACATTCCTTGGGACCCGAAGGTCAACGTATCTTCAATACTCTGTCTATTTCGCAGGCGGCCGAAAAGACTGAGGAGGAAGGGACCGGACGTGTATGACTCCGCGGTAGCGGCACTGGCTAAGCACTTCGATGCCACCTGCAACCCGGTCGTCGAGCGCCACCGATTTCACCGTCGAATTCAGTTCCCAGCCGAGTCTATTCAAGAATACGTGACCGCGCTAACAGAGCTTGCCGCGATGTGCTCATTTATGTCGCAAGAAGAGTCACTACGTGACCAGTTTGTTGCGGGTGTGTCTTCGCATCGTATTCGGGAACGTCTTCTGTTAGAAGGGTCTTCGCTTTCGTTCAACAAGGCAGTTGCTCTCGCGAGTCAAATCGAACAGGCAGCAGTGGAAATGAAGGAATTTTCCGTCTCTGTGCAACCAGCATCTGCGCTGTCTGGCACAAAAGGTGGTTCATCGTTGCAGTCACCGAATTCACTGCCGCGTGCTCGCACTTTCAGCCAACGCGATAAGGCAGCTACATGGGGGAACCGCCCCCCGGCTCGACAGCGCTCTCTATCGAACTCGCAGCAACACGCGAATTCTTCGTATTGCTTCAGGTGTGGTTCTAAACAGCATCGTGCTTCTTGGAAACGCTGCCCAGCTAAAGGAAAAAAATGCTTCTTTTGTGACCATATCGGACATTTTGAAAACGTTTGCAACCAGAAACGGTCGCAAGCAGCTGTCCACGAGGTTTCAGTACATAGCCCGTTGCAGGATGAAACCGTCGAGGTTCTTGTAGTTCAACAGCCTCTTGCATCCGGAATTCACATTAACATTCAAATTGGGCATGTCGCTATGAAGCTGTTAGTTGATTCTGGCTCTTCCGTTTCCATTCTTTCAGGCAAGGTGTTTGACCAACATTTCTCTGGTGTGCCGCTTCTTCCTGTTCCTAGTGTGACGCTTCTGGATTATTCCAAAACACCAATTTTGGTTCGAGGCTGCTTCTTTTCTGAGATCTTTTCCGAGAATCGCAGCGCACTGCTTTTGTTTTATGTCGTCGAACAGGGTACTTCTCTCGTTGGCTTGGATGGTATTAAGGCCTTGAAGCTGTGTATTTAAGGCTGTCAGCTGCAGTGTTTTCAAACCAGCATGGTACCGAACGCCGACGTAGCTCGGACATGTCCAATAGAGCCATCCATGCAGCTGCCGCCAGCACTTCAGCAAACGTTTTGCTCGCTCTTCACAAATGAGCTGGGCCTTGCAAAAGGTTTTGTTCACAGGATTAACACACGTGCAGGTGTTCAGCCAGTAGCATCAAAACTCCGCTGGCTTCATTTCATGTTACGACCACGCGTGTCTTCCGAACTGATGCGCCTGGAAGGCTTGGACATCCTTGAACGTATCGATGCGTCAGAATGGGTGTCCCCTATTGTAGTCATTCAGAAGAAAGATGGAAGTAATAGGCTTTGTGTAGATTTACGTGAACCTAACAAGGTCATCGTTCCGGACAGCTTTCCACTGCCTCACATGGATGAGTTGCTTCAAGCCTTGGTGAGTGCCACACACTTTTACAAACTCGACTTAGCGTCTGCCTACCACCAAGCTCCGCTGGATCCTGAGAGCAGGGATTTGACAGCTTTTATAACACATGAAGAGCTGTACCGGTTCAAACGCGTTTGTTTTGGGCTAGCCTCAGCACCTGCTGCTTTGCGGAGTATGATGTCTCGAATCCTTCGCAATCGTGCGGGTGTCCTCTTTTACATCGACGATGTAATTATTTTTGGTAAATGAGCTGAGGACCACCTCAAAAACTTGGAGGCAGTGTGGCAGCGTATCAAAGACGCAGGTCTGAAGCTCAACAGCAAATGTGTGTTTGGAGTTCAGGAGCTGGAATTCTTGGGCCACAAGGTGACACCTTGCGGTATTTCGCCACTGCCAGGGAAAGTGGACGTAATTGTGCAAACCCCAGTTCCAAGAAATGCCGCTGAACTCCGCTCCTTTTTTGGGCTGGTGGAATACTGCGCTAAGTTCGTGCCACACTTGGCCGAGATAGTAGAACCAATGAGGGCTCTTCTTAGGAAAGGCGAAACCTTCACCTGGTCTGTTGAAGTGGATAACAGTTTCCGCGTGGTAAAAGAGGTATTATCGTCAGATCTTATCTTGCACATGTTTGATCCTGTGCTTCCAATTATCATTTCCACTGATGCATCCGAATGTGGTCTTGGAGCAGTCCTTCAGCAGCACGCCGATAATAAGCTTCGTACTGTTGCTTTTGCATTACGCACGCTATCTCCGGCTGAAAGAAAGTACGCAGTTGGTGAGAAGGAAGCACTTGCATGCTTTTGTGCATGCGAGCATCGGCATGCATACCTGTGGGGACGGAGCTTCACTCTCCGAACAGACCAGTAGGCCCTCGTTTCGCTTCTGTCTTCGCAGAGCTCCGGCCGACGCCCACTTAGAATTGCACGTTGGTGCACAAGGCTACTACGTTACAATTTCACGGTGGAGTACCAGAAAGGCTCATCTAACAGAGTAGCCGATGCTCTTTCGTGGTTACCCGTACATATGGCAGATGGAGAGCTGACTTTTGAGGAGGAAATTGTTTCCATGGTTCAACCAAGTTGCCTGACCGAAGAGCAGTTTGAACAAGCGGTTCTTGCTGACGCCACTCTTCAAAAGATGAAGCAGTTTGTAAATTGGTCTTGGCCGTCACAGAGAGACTTGCCGGAAGGTCTGAAACCATATTTCAGAGTTCGAGACGAATTGTCAGTGGTGAGCGAATTGTTGTTGCGTGCAGAGAAGCTTGTAGTTTCATCATCTCTCGTGGCTCAACTTGTGGCGACAGCACATGAAACTCACCAGGGTATCGGACGCACCAAAGCCAAACTTAGGGAGCAATTTTGGTGGCTCCGCATGGACAGTCACGTGGAAGAAGCAGTCCACAATTGTAGCATCTGTCAAGCAGCAGATAAATCGGCAAAGACGTCGCCTGCCCCGCTGCAACCTGTCGAGCCACCAGAGAGACCATCGCAGAAACTTGCAATGGATATCGTTGGTCCCCTGGAGAGGGCGCCTCCAGATTGCAGATTTGTGCTGACACTCGTAGATTACTTCTCAAAATGGCCAGAAGTACAGTTTTCGAGGGAAATTTCTACAAGAACCGTGACCAAGATTCTGCTCAACGTATTTGCACGGAAAGGCTCTTCTGAGGCGATAGTCTGTGATAATGGGCCCCAATTCACGTCAAAGAAATTTGTCAACTTCCTACAAGAACGAGCGATCCGCCTGTCGCACTCATCTGTTTATTGCCCGCAGGCAAACGGACAGATCGAGCGGTTCAACCACATGTTCAAGACTTACTTACAACTGGCCCGTCTAGAACAACGTCCGCTGCGAACTGCTGTACGGGATTACCTCGCCGCATACATGTGTAAACCACACGCCACAACAGGAGTGGCCCCTGCGGTACTTTTACATGGAAGGCTGCCAAGAACGAAGCTTGACATCTTCGGCTTATCGCCCGAGTCCTTCGCAAAGGCACCCTACCAGGAGCTGGCCAGGCTGCGGCAACGTGTCAAGCGCAGGCAACAGTACAGCAATGCCTACACTGACAGGAGGCGAGCGGCAAAACCGACAACAGTGGCAGTAGAAGACATGGTGCCGCTGAAGAAATCATCGGTTTTATTCAAAGGTGACATCTCTTTCTCGTAGCCAAGGAAAGTCATCGAGCAACGTGGCCCAGCATCCTTCATTCTCGACGACAGCAAAACATGGAACGCGGCAAAGCTGTGCAAGGTGCCTGCTCAGTGCCCTGGCGACAATGGCCTTCGGCAACATTCTGCAGGGCGTGAGTATTCGTTCCATCATGATCCCGTTGACGCGACGCTTCCCGCTGCAACATGGCAGCCAGCGTCCGCCGAGGCAAGTGCTCCCGCAGCCAAACCTGTGCCTAGTGCAGACTACGATTGATTGATTTGTAGGGTTTAACGTCCCAAAACCACCATATGATTATGAGAGACGCCGTCGTGGAGGGCTCCGGAAATTTTGACCACCTGGGGTTCTTTAACGTGCACCCAAATCTGAGCACACGAGCCTACAACATTTCCGCCTCCATCGGAAATGCAGCCGCCGCAGCCGGGATTCGAACCCGCGACCTGCGGGTCAGCAGCCGAGTACCTTAGCTACTACACCACCGCGGCGGGGCCAGACTACGATTCCCGCTCGCAAACGAGACCAGCCGCCGGACAGTTTCCTGCTTCAGAAACTGTTTCACGCCCGCCCTAAACACTACAGAAGAACCTGTGGTGTCGTGCCCACCTGGTCGTCGCATTCAGCCGCACCGAGAGAGACGGCGACTGTACAGATATGGTTTTAAAGTGTGAACGTGTAAATATTCCTTAGTTGGTGTACCTGTTACCTAATGTATTCAATATTTTTTGGATGTGTATAGATAATTTTGTGTGTATATATTGATGTCTACTTCTTGTTGTGTATTTCTTCCTCCACATAAAAACTCAGCGCGATTACCCTATACTAACGTACTAACACCTTCCCAAAATCAAAAAAATAAATGAGGGAGGGAGGGAAAATGTTGTATCCTGTATATAGTACCTGTAGTTTCGGTTTCTGTGTTTGAGTTGGCAACACTGGGTCCTTGTGATTGTATATATTTGTGGAACGTCTAATAAAAAAAAGGGTATGCAACCGCTACCCGTGAGAGCGAGGCACGTCACTCGTTCACTACACTCACATCACCAGCTTTTACAGAATGGAAAAATATGCTAAAAGAGCAGAAAGTTAAGCACACAAAATGCGGCCTCAACTTTGCATTCTTGGCCAATCCCCTAAAGTGGTACGTGAATTTTATTGAAGGAAAACAAAAAAAGAAAGAAACAAACAAAATGCGGTGAATCAAGACCAATCTACTAAATTCTTTTCGGATGGTGTCTTTCCGGCAGTCTGAAATACAAGCCCAAAAGCATATAGACGTAAGACTCTGCCCAGGCGGCGCTGCCAAAAACGCCGCCACCAACGCACATTGCTCTGAGTACATTGCTAATCAGCTTTTGAAGCAATGCCCTTGAGTTCTTTAATACAAATGAAAGACGTTTGTACTCATATATCTATCAAAGGGAAAAAGAAATGCCGTGAATCCGTTGGTATCTTTCTTTAGCAGTACTTGCGAATACCCCTTGAACTAATCGATTCTCAAGAACCATTGACATTCAGTAGAGTCTCAGCGACAATTACTTCAATGCGGGACAATGGGAAAGGGATCCATTCGGTTTGTCTGATAAACAATAATCCGTGCACGTCCAAAAGGGAGCCATCTTCCTTTGGCGAAGTAATGATTGACGATGCAAATGCGGATTTTGATGGCCTGATGATGCCAGAGTCCAGCATACCTTCGACATTTGGGTGCACGTTAAAGAACACGAAGTTGATATTTCCGGAATCATTCACTACGGCGTCTCTCATAATCATATCGTGGTTTTTGGGATGTTATACCCCAGGAATCGAGCATACCTTCGGGCTCCTGCTTCAGCCAAGATTTATTTTCGTAACATATAGAGTACGGCTTTCTCCTAAGAGTTGTTGTGTCTTGTAACTGAAATGGCACCTCCATTGCTGTTGTCTGTCGTGGGTACGGCCCAACACACATCTGTTCAGGAAACTTGGTTGCGACATCATCAGGGCACTTGGCTACTCGCCTCAACTTGGTACCAGTATTAGGCCTAGCTTTCTGTGAATTGTCCCTCTTGTAACTGAAATGGCACCTTCATTGCCGTTGTCTGTGGTGGATACGACCCAACACACATCTGTACAGGGAACTTGGTTGCGACATCATCAGGGCAATTGGCTACTAGCCTCACCTTGGTACCAGTATTAGGCCTAGCTTTCTGGTAATTGTCTCTCCTACTACTGCCTCCATCTGTTGTTATTACGCCGTTCGACGGAATTTTCCTCTTTAAGCGCTTCATATCCGGCCCACAGAGGATATCAAAATTTCACTATGATGTTCTGGCCACCTAAAAAACCTTATTATTTTTTCAAATTTGAAAACTCTCGGCGTGATCCATCGTAGCTGTGTTCCTGAATGGGCTTTCTCATGCTGACATTGTGCTTACATATATTTCTTTCAATTATAAAGCTAACAGACGCTCCAATATCCATCATTGCTGTTATTTCTTGATCATTCAGAAGCACTGAAACGTACAGAATGTGCGTCCCTCTAATAAACACACTATCTCATCATATTGTAGTTCAGTCTCGATGGTAGCTATTGTGTCGAAATTCTCAAAGGTTCTCATTGTTCTCGTATTTCCACACGTGTCTGTCACAAATCTTTTCATTATGCTAAGAAGGTATTCCAAAGAACGCGGCGACAGGACTTGTATTTGCTGTCGGTATGCTTTCGTCTTTACAAAAGTACAATGGCCGAATCTGGAACCTTAGGCTCTTCGAGTTCAAGTAGGCGCCACTTCTAAAAAATAATCCCACATATTTAGTTTATTCCGCATATAAGCTAGCGCGTCAACACACAACTTCAGCTGATTACCTTGAAAAGAAGAGCGAGAACTAATTTTTCGTGCACACCATGAGTCTGCGTTCTCTTTACACTTAATTTCGCGTCATTCAATATGACTGGTTGGCGCAAGTATCAGCCAAAAGTAATACAAAAAGGCAAATCTCGAAGTGTTCTACTGATTGATTTCTCTAAACCAAGGCATGATTAGAACTTGGTGGTCACTGCCCTCGTGTTTTCTTTTCTTCTTTTTCCTTGGCTTCTTTTTATCGTACTTGGCACTGCGGTCACTTCTATATGGGTCTAACTCTTTTTGTCGTGAAACACTGGCCCTAAAATTTATCTGCACGTACACGGCATGCTTTGTGTGTGCCACCACCAGAGGCAGTAAAAAGTTTACCCTTTCCGTCCGAATGCAGCGGCAGACCGTTTTCGAGACAGTTGCAATTTGCGGATAGACAGAGTTGTGCAGCAAGGCGGCACGTCTGGTACTGACAAAGGTCCTTCAAACGAATCAAAGGCGTGAACATACACAGCAGCTGGGCACACTCGCATAAAAACAGCTGCTTAAACTAGTTGGGCCAGCTTAAAGATAAATAAATAATAAATTTTAAGGCTCCTGACGTCTATAGGTATACATATACTTTCTTTTACTTCTTACGTCATTGTGGAGGCCCCCTACCTACCTTCAGCACCTCATTTACCACCCCCCCCCCCCGAACCGCAGCTAACCAGCGACACCCTAGAAAAGCACGAACGCATTTCCCGCAGCGCCACAGAAGTTTTCAGGAAAAACTGGCTGCAGGGCCCCTGGCGGGCGTCCGATCTGTTGACGCGGGAAGGGCCATAGCAGTGCAGGGGAGGGATAGGGCAGTGAGCACACTGCCTTCTTCTAGTGCACTGTAATGCACGTCATGGCCTAGGATAGAGTTGCCAACTCCCGGCGCACTTAGCCAACGGAAAAAAGAAGATTCTTTTAACGGCACTGCATCAAGTGTATTTCTAGAAATTTTCAATCGTGGTGTGCTGTATATATATATATATATATATGTGTGTGTGTGTGTGTGTGTGTGTGTGTGTGTGTGTGTGTGTGTGACGTAAGAAGGCAGGGATGGTTAGGAGAAGTAGATGAAGAAGAAGTGCTTTTGGAATAAACATGGCGTATGAGCCAGGCCAGGTCGCCCAGTCATCATAAGTGTCATATATATATATATATATATATATATATATATATATATATATATATATATATATATATACCGCACAGCACAATCTTTCGAATGCACGCTTCACCACGACGCAAGAACCTCGATAACAATTGGTCTTCCTGGAACGGATTCTTCCATTTCCTCATCAACGCTCTGAACTTCTTTGCATAGGAAACAGATGCCCTGCAGACTCCCCTCACGGCACAGCCAACGTCTTTTGAACAGTCATTTTCATGTCGCGTCTCATGATGGTAGGTGCTTAGCCGTGCTCCCTCGAGGATTGCCAATAACGGTGCAGCTCCAGTTTCATTATAAAACCACTTCTCTCTCGAAAGATAGCGGCTAGCTTTGACTACTTTGTCGCTTCGACTGTCACGGACTCGGTGACATCAAATTCAGCTTCAGCTTTGGCTACAGGTTGTGCAATGAGGCCTGCTTTCGTTCAACGGCAAAGCTTCGCTCGACTCAGTTTTGCTCATTCTTTAATGGAGTGTGTGAAATGGGGTCGCACCATGAAATTTGCCGCAGTGACAATACCGCAATTGCTCGACCGTAACACAATCACGATCGTTACGCGACGGGTGACTTTTCATTTTGTTGAGGAACAAAAAATAAATGAATTTTTGGTCATTGATTTTAACTTTACAGGTGACTTAGGTAGGAAAACTCTGGATAACAACGTTCTGGATGCATCGAACAGGGCACGTATCCTTACAAATGTAGTTCATTGTTTTTTTTACTTTGTCTTCATATAAAAGTCCTAACATGACTATTGGCATTTGACAGCTAATGTACCGCTTAAAGTGGATGTACTACGTTGAAGTTTGCAGGCATGAATCTGTGCGAACGACTAATGTCCATAATCAATAAAACTTGTCTAACGGGTAGTAAGGCTGTTGGTCGCGCTTCTACATGCTCGCAAGTCCGGAAACATTGCTTCTAGAATCGCATGTTTTGTGGATTTTTAGGTAGCAGAG